TCCCCTGTAGACATTTTGGCCATTTGCACACTTGAGTGACAAAGACATACCCTCAGTATGAATAACATGGTCCCACCTAAGGTCAGACCAAGCATTTCTTTCTACCTTCTCTCTACAGCAGTTTTTTTTTTTCCAGCTTTTTAAAAATGATTTATTTACTTTTATGTGCATTGGTGTTTTGCCTGCATTTATGTCTATATGAGGGTGTCAAATCACTTGGAGCTGAATTATAGACAGTTGAGAACTGCCATATGATGCTGGGAATTGAACCTGTGTCCTCTGGAAGAGCATCCAGTATTCTTAACCACTAAGCCATTGTTGTACCTGTTTCTCGAAACTCCCAGAGACCACCAAGGAGCCAGTTTCCGATGTAAAAACACAAGGGTCCTTTTATTGTCAGGTTCGAACCTGGGCCACCACAGGGCAGATGGAAGGAAATGTGGCAGTGCCCACGAGCCCAGGTGTAGAGAGTTTTTATAGCGGAAAAACTGCAAGCCAGGAATTATATGCTTTGGCATCTTGGGATTGGGTAGAAGGAATATGGGGCAAGATGATTTTTTTGAAACTATTGGTCTAGACTTTTGGCGCGAAACCACATTTGAAACTATTGGGTTGGACTTTTGGTGGGGAATCACAACTTGCTGAGCAGGATTATCTGGACTGCTCAGCCGGATTATCTAGATATCTTCAAGGGCCATAAACTGCAGACAGGATGTCTGCAGGAGGATACTGCCCTGTATCCGTTCTAGTTGTCATGACACATTCCTGAGGTCCTTTCTGGAACTGAATCCAGCAGGTGGTCTAAGATGGTGGCCCTACCCTAAAATGGAGTCTGTATTGCCTTCACACCATCTCTCCAGCTCTATGGCTGGTTTTGAAAATAATGTAATATGTGGTGCTAAAAGGCTCAAGATGGAAAATCCTAGCTGCTGAAGTCCACCCATAGACCAACCTCCCTGGCTCTCATACAAGCTCTGGCCCAAAAGTGCCCAACTAGGCCATCTCTCAGGCAGCCTGTTCTTTTCACTCTCTGTCTCCACCTTTTCTCTCTTACGTTACTACCCTGACAGTCTGACCTAGGTGGGCAGCCACACTGCATCAGCTAGAACATGCATGCAGCATAGCAAGATACTGGGACAAGGTAATCTGATGGACCTAGCGCAGAGGTACCTAGTTAGGTTTCAGGGCTCACTGGAGTTTCCCTAAGTTGAAGAGGAGGCCTTCCACTGGGTGCAAGACACTAGCCCTGCAGCCCCTCAACCCCAGAACTGTAGTTGTTGGGGATTCCCACTTAACGTTCTGGGTGTCCCAGAACATAAAAGATGCTCTAAGTAGCTGAGGGTAGACCTGTTTTTACCTTGGCCCTGGGCCCAGCTATGGCTTCCAGATTTTCTATCCAACGTGCCCTCAGCCTGGCTGCAGGCTGATCTAAAAGCTACATTTGGGAGACCTCATATCAGGTTCACTTGTTCAGCTCTAGATTCAAATCTGTCCTCAAGATACATTGGACATATGGCCACTGTTGGCCTCAATTTGGGAACTTTTGATTTCTAATGCCTAAACTGATTTAGGTAACTCTATAAGATGGAATGGTAGCCTGGTCCGAGTCCCCATCCCCCATAAAACCCACAGTTCACTTTAATCTTTCTCAAGGTTCTGGCTTACAACTACACCCAGAGGGGGGATGCCCATAGCCATTTCTGTTGGGCTCCAAACTTACATCTTTCCTAGCTCAGATAGCACAGAACCCTTTGCCTTATGCTTGTGGCCTGGGAAGTTCTGCTTGTATCTTCAGCAACTAAGAGGTAAAAGCATTCCAGGTTGTCTGCTCCCATCTGCAGACACACACCAACTGGTTAAGGATATGTAGATCACCAGGTTCAGTCTTACAGAGATTCAAGTGTCTTTTGAGTATGAATAATATTGAAAAATTGTTGCATGCTGTTCTACTATACTACTATAAAAGGCAGGCCCTAGAGTTTAAATGTGGGCCATCTGCCCTAGAGCAGGCATGTTTGTTTAAAAGTTTCCTCTGGCCAGGCAATGGTGGCACACTCCTTTAATCCCAGCACTCGGGAGGCAGAGCCAGGCAGATCTTTGTGAGTTCAAGGCCAGCCTGGGCTACAGAGTGAGATCCAGGAAAGGTGCAAAGCTACACAGAGAAACCCTGTCTCAAAAACCAAAAAAAAAAAAAAATGTTTCCTCTGAAGTCTCAGTCCTGGCTCAGGTTGGCCACCTGACTCTGTGGCAGGGGGAGAGAAAAACAGAACATCCCAGGAACAGATACTTGGCTCTTGAGAACAACCAAGAAGTAAAAACAGGGGTTACAAATGGCAAGGTGTTTAAGTCTCTGAATTCTCTCTCTTTTTAAGTCTCTGAATTCTCTCTCTTTTTCCCTTGGTTTTGTTTACCGTCTTTAAAGCTTTTGCTGGAACTTTCACTTTCTGTATTTTAGCATTTCTAAGTTCATTGAGTGTGATTTAAAAAGGATGTATAGATAATCTTAATTTGCTATGATACACCATGTATGTAACTTGGGTTCAACTCTTGCTTAGGAACAGCCTGATGGGTTCCCTTGGAGTACCATGTCACTTGCTGCCATCTTGGCTGATGACCTAGGCTCACCTTGGAATACCATGTGACTTGTGGACATCTTGGAAGTCATGTGATTCAGCCAACATCTTTATTAAGGATAAAAAAAGGGCATGCCATGTGACTTCACCATCTTGGTTAAGGTGACCATGTGGTATAAACCAATCAGAGCAGCACCCATAAAACAACTACATTCACTGAGCTCTCTGCTTATCATGACTTTTATCAGACTAAGGAGGCAACACCAGCTTCCAAGATAAGGTTTGTTTTGAATCTGAGTCATAGAGAAAAACTGGCATTTTGTAAAACTAGACTAAAAAAGGCCAATCTCTCTGTGAACTGTATTTATGGTTTTAAGTCTATTTTGATACTAATGGATTGATCTTTAATTCAAGACTTATAATTTTTAAGGCTTATAAGGAACGGGGATAAAATTGTAAAATCCTAATCTTATAAAAGAATTACTTACTAATTGTAAATTGTTAATTAGGATATACAAGCTAATGGTTAGTCATGCTAAGTACAGATGTAATTTAGAGACAAGGTGTTATGAATTTTGCATTCGGGGACCAAAGGATGGCCAGACCAGGGCCCACTCATGGGAGAAGACATGCTGGGCAGATGAAGCAGGGGTGGGGGTGGGGGATGGGGTGGGGGTGGCAGCGGCATGTGGGCAGTCTTTTACACCCAGGTGCTGCATCCATGTGGAGAGTTTATTATAATAGAGAGATGAAGAGAAAGATAGAAAGAGGGGGAGGAGAGAGAGAGAGAGAGAGAGGTGCATACCTCATGGGAATGGAGAGAGAGAAAGAGAGAACGCAAAGGGGGGTTTCCTTTATGTCAGGATGTAGGGCAGCCCCAAGGGACAGGATTTCAAGGGGCGGGTGGCTCAGAATATTAACACAAGATTGGAGAGAGAGATCAGCTTTTATCTGTCTTCCATCCCAGAGTCTCCTGTTGCCCTCCATCATGTAGTATTCTGCATGTGTTATCAAATTAAGCATAAAGCAAGTAAAATAAAACAAGTTTAAAGGGAACTTAAAGTTTGTTTAATGCAAAATAATATTCAAAATCAAGTATATTTTAAAAATTGGTTATGAAAAAAATGAGTGCTTGAGTAAAATGGGTTAAATTTACAGAGTACACTTGCAGGCAGGAAAGCCCCAGGCTCAAGTAGTTCCCTTAGATGGAGCTCACTTCCCTTGGGTGGAGCACACGTTCCCTTAGATGGAGCACACGTTCCCTTGGGTGGAGCACCATCCCACCAGAGTAAGTTGTATGCTAGCCTCCTTACAGGGCAAGGATGCCTGGAAAATAAGACTGGAGAAAACAAACCAAACCCCTCCTCCTTATCGAAAGAATGATTCCTCCTGTCTTACATGAGAGAGGGATGGATTCTTTTGCGCAGAGGAGGATCTCTGCACCCACATCCTAGACATCTCACACAGCAGAGAGGCAAATATCAATTACTCACATGTCAGTTCAGGAGACACTGCC